GATCTCCACTTCTTGAGTTTTCTTCATCACTGAGAACGTTTTTTCCCTAAAGTTTAGACCATCAGAAACGTGATTGGAGTTGTATCAGTAGGAAGGGTGTACCCTGGTTTTGACTGGCAGTCTAGGTCGGTTCTACACACAGCAACACCTTGGTTTATAATTGAGATGTAGAGCATCAGCTATGGGCTCTTGCACATAGTGGACTGTATCTAGCTGTCTTTAAAACTGCGGTTGCTGAGGGGACTGCATTATGAAGCCTGCTGTAAGCCTGTGAGTGATGCCTCATGTGAGCTGGGCAGGGCTGCACTCTTCCCTGGCCCTCCACACTCACCCAGCATGCACTTTCCAGCCTGCTGTGTTAGAGACCTCAGTGAATAAACCTGATTCTGTTAGACTCATGCTTAGAGAGTCTGGGGGCTCAGGACTAAAATCCTTTTTAATTGGGTAAAAGTATGGCTACATTAAAAATGTTTATATAGCTCTTACACACACACACACACACACACACACACACACGGGGAGGGTCAGGAGGGAAAAAGAAGCAGAGACAGAGGGACAGACTGACGAGATTGTGTTTGGTGTGTATAACTTACAAGGCAGCTTTCTAGAACTGCAGGCCTGGTGTGAGCATAGCAGGAGTGCGATCGTCTGCTTCGAAGCTCCGTGCATTTCACGTGCTTCAGGTCAGGGGGAAGCTCATAAACACCAACCTGCTCTAGGTCTGTTTAGCCAAACTTTGTCAATACAGTGAGAGAGAGGAGGCTACCGTGTGGAGCCGGTGATGTGCCTTTTACCTTGTCTGTACCAGAAGAGAGGCAGGACAGCTCCGGGAGCTGGGAAGCAATGAATTCAGGTTAGGCTACTTCTCTTTCATTAAACTTTAAATTTTTTTTTTTTTTTTTTACTACATTTATATATTGTGGTGTATCTATGTGCACATTTCTCAGGGCATTTGTGGAGGTCAGTGGACAAGTTAGGGGAGTTGGTTCTTTCCCTCTACCATGTGTCTTAGGGATGAAACTTAGGTTGTCAAGCTTGGTGGCTCAGAGCAAGCCCCCTTATGTACTATGTACTGAGCCATCGCACCAGCCTGCTTTTCTTGATTCTTTAGCTTACACAAATTTGGAAAAATATTACCAACAATCTACACAGGTCCAATCAAGGACTGCGTCAAGGCCTACTCGTGCTTGACTAGCTCCCCGGAGAATGGAGCGCCTGGGCTGTTTGCAATAACCCAGCATCGTAGACACACGTGGATATAAACAGCTAAGCAGTAAGGCAGATCTTCAGGCTAGAAGTGGAGTGAGGTGGGTCTAAAAACAAGGCAGTCATAGCATTAAATCTCCCATGAAAGAGAGCTGATGTAGTCTGCTTGTAGAGGGGAAGGCAGGCTGGGGTGTGGGACCCTCCTGAGCAAGGAAGGGATGGAATGAAAGTAGATAGGGAAGAGTTTTGACAAAGGTGCTCTGGTGGGTGTGGATGAGAGAGGAGAGCAGACTGTTGAGCCAGTATAGTGACCTACAGGTGAGAAGAAATGGGTGACAGCAGAAGGAAGAAGACAAATCAATGCACTTGAGGTGGATGCCTACTAATGAAATAGACTTCGTTTCTCAAATAAAGCAGGGCTTTCAGAAAAGAGGTGGCACTAGTGCAGAAATGGGGACATAAGCCTAGGGATATCAGGAAGAGGTGAAACAGAGAGGAACAGTTTAGAAACGTCTTTTAAATGACTCATAATTGTACCATTTTAATATAACCGCCCTTCTGTCGTTCCCATTTGCCTCATAGTAATCCAGGTTCATTTTAAGTCATATGTCTGCAGGTATAAATATGCACATCATTCATATTTTAAGAATTAAAGTCTTATAAACATTTATTTACATTCACTGCTTATTTATAAATACTATAGACTTAATCCCTTTCCTTGACTCTGATATATTCCCAGAGTGTCTTGAAGCAGAGAACCAACCACATCAGTGTTCATTCCTGTGTGTCTGAAGCATAAGAAAAACACATTTTTTTTATTGAAAGCAATTTTGATTATTTCTGTTCTTTTCCTTATATAAGTTCCTACAGAATATGTGTATATGTTTGTTTAGGTTTTTCTCTTTTTAAGTGGGTTGAGGGATCTAGTCTGTTAAATCGTTTCCTTATGGTACACTTCAGATTAGAAACACTGTGTGGATGGACACTGAGGCTATTTCAGACATCTGGATTGCAGCATACGGGAGGTGTTTGCAGACACACTCTGGAGTTGAGTGATAAGCCAGTGTGTTCCAGGAATAAACTTAAAACCTCAAGGATTTAAGTGAAGGATGTGGTTAGGAGGTGGTAGGCTTTGGTAGTTCCAGGAACATGGAGACTTCCTGTCAGCTATTTCCTCATCTATTTAGCAACTTGTAGCACAAGTCACATAAGGAGCCATTTTTGTGCCTTGCCATTATTTGGTAGAATGATAACAATTCCACCAGAAAACTATTATCATAACATTCCTAGCAAGGCTTCAATTTGGAAAACAGCTTGATATAATCAGCCTAGAGATATTTTTTTATCTGTATGGAGTTCTCAAAGAGCGGTCTTCTAGTTGCATTGACATTTGGCTGAGAGACAGGTTCACACACAGTCACTTATAATTAACTTTCTTCCCCTGACATGAATGCTGGAAACACTGTGAAATAGCGTGGGGCTGACTTGATGGCTTAGGGATGTCACTGGAGACCTAAGCTCCACACTTCTTACTTCACCATCCTGAACATGTGGCCTTGTCTTTATGGTCCCTGAAGATGGAAGTGGCTCATGTCCCTTCCTCTGATTACATCTTGGCATCACACAGGACAGTAATAGAAAGGCAAAGATAAAATGTGTCAGGGGCCTTTCTATGCATTTTGCCCACTGAGAATGCTTTTCTGGAATCCTGCCCTTTCCAACATCTGCGTTATTCTCCTCTGCTAGAACTGCTCAGGCATTTTGGGCTAAATACATTACCTTTCCTGATAAAACCATGGTAGATTTCAGTGTCTTCCCCAGTCTAGAGGTGACAGGGTGTCAGTGCTAATGACAGCTTGCCTTTGCAATGGTGAGCGCCAGACATCAGTATTTATATTGTTTAGCTGAAGAAATAAAAATAAAATAAAAGGTACAAATTTGTGAGGAATTCGTAAATAGCTTTCATTTTGGTATGTCTCCTTTGATTTTGGTTGAAAAGCTGACGAAAGTTATATGATTTTTGCTCTAAAAGCCAACCAGTGGTTTGCCGGTGTTTGGTTTCTTTTAAAATGGGCCTTGTGAGTGTTAGGCGGGGGGGTATGTTGCTGAGTTGTGTCACCACCAGTCCTCTCTTTACTCTCTCTTTCGTTCTTTCTCCTTCCTTCCTTCCTTCCTTCCTTCCTTCCTTCCTTCCTTCCTTCCTTCCTTCCTTCCTTCCTTCCTTCCTTCCTTCCTTCCTTCCTCCCCGCCCCCCTTAGGATTTGACAGGCTTTATCTGTGTAGCCTTGGCTGTTCTATGCTTCAGGAGTGCTGGGATTAAAGGTGTGAGCCTCTGTGCCCGGCTCTCCCTTTTCATTTTGAGACACCATCTCACCAAGTGTCCCAGGCTGGTCACTTACTTAGTAGCCCAGGCTGGGCTCACACTTGTGATCCTCCTGTTTTAACTCCCGGAAGCTGGGGTCCACACTGCCAGTCTTAGCAGCATTTGTATTTAGAGGAGGGACTGCTGCTAAGCAGCTGTCCTGTGTGACCTGTAAACAAAATGCAAAGAGAGGACATGAAACACTCAGGGCAGATCATGTGGACAGGAAAGCACCTACCAACCACTGAGTCATTCCCAGGAACTTCATTTCTACGCCAGATGAGGTGAACGCCTTGAATCCCATCACTGAGGAGGCAGAGGCTGGTGGGTCTCTTGAGTTCAAAGCCACCCTGGTCTTATATAGTGAGAGTTCCAGGACAGCCAGGACTACATAGTGAGACCTTGTCTCAAAAACAAACAAACAAACAAACAAACAAACAAACAAAACCTGTATAAATAAATCCCAGTACACTCAAAATAGCCACAATCCTAGGCTTGCACCTGTCACCTAACATGGAAAGTTTTCTCTATTTCTTGAGTGAGATCCTATCAAGCACATGCTCTGTATGTTCTAAGCTAACGGCTCTTGGCTCTCCCAGCATTAGAAATACCAAGACAGCTTCAGGGAAATATCCATGCCAGAGTTCCACAGCAGATGTTCTTGTGAGAAGTAATGAAGAAATACACCAGGACATTTGGCAGGAAGGCTGGGGGGGGGAGGTCATACCAGCAGCAGACTGTCTGCACTTAGAGAAAGTTCGATCTGCTTGGACATTCCAGGTTGTCCAGAGTATCCTGAGACTGCTGAGCCCTGGAAATGTGCCTGATGTCTTCATTATATATACACATATATGTGTATGTGTGTGTGTGTGTGTGTGTGTATATATATATATATATATACACACATATGTGCATACATACATACATATATGTATTAGTAATACAGGGGATGGGATGTAAGGCTTGTATGTGGTACATGTGATACAAGAGCTTCACCACTGAGCTACAGCCCCAATCCCAAGATTTTAATATAATTAAACAATAATAGCTACATGTAACTAGTGGCCATCTTATTGAGAAATGGAAATTTAAGAGAGAAAACCAATTGTCTCTAGTTACTGGGGAAGGCTGAATGGAAGACTTTAACATGACCCTCAAAGTCGTACATGACCTTAAAGTTTTTTCAGTCATGGGAGCAGGTAGTAATAATCGGTCAGAATAGAGTGACTTTTACATTAGGGCCTCAGGAATGACTAACCTGTGGCACAGTCTTAACCTTTTATAGGCGTTCTGACCATTAGAATTATTTTGATGAGTCCTGGGGCCCTAAAGCCCCTCTGCTTTATTGAGTTAGCTTAAACACAGTCTAAAGGTACCTCTGAAGATAGCATTGTCTTCTATTGAACCATTTCTTTCTCTCTTTTAAAATCAGGTATCAAATTGTAGTGGAAATAATCCAAGCAACTACAATTAGCAGCTTCCCCCAACTGAAGAGGCACAAGGGTAAGAACCAATTTGTTTTCTCCAAGTGTACATTTGAAGGGTCCTCAGTCTACTCCCAGAGTCCTCTGTCCTGTTAGTTCTTTGACAAATATGGAACATTCTGCTGACTTGTATTTAAATAATTTAAATCTTTAAAACAGTGGTCTAATACAGTGGATCTCAACCTTTCTAATGCTGGGACCCTTTGATATAGTTCCTCATGTTGTAATGATCCCCTAACATAGTTATTTTCCTTGCTACTTCATAACTATAATTTTGCTACTATTATGAATGTAAATATCTGATTTGCAAGATATCTCTATGTGGCCCCCGTGAAGGGATCCAGACCCACGGGTTGAGAACCACTGGTCTAATATCACTGAAGAAAGTAAAATTAATTTCATCCTAACAATTTGTATTGTGTGTGTGTGTGTGTGTGTGTTCACATACATGTTCAGACCAGAGGACAACTTTGAGTATATTAGACATTTTCTGAAAAGGGGCTTTCCTTGGCCTGGAGCTTACGATGTGGTTGGCCAGTGTGGCCCCAGGACCTGCCTGTCTCCATTGTGACAGCAATGGGATTACAGCCAGCCCCCAAACGTGTCATGTGGGTTCCAGGAATCACTTAGAGCTTGTGCTTTCAAGGCAAGCACTTTAACCTTAAAAACTTAAAAATTAAGCTGTGGCCACAGATCTTAGAACTAAGCTTGACTGAATATAGTTTTGAGTATTGTCAGTGTGTTTTTCGTGAACATTTCTGTTTGAAGCATGCTCTTGATAGTCACTTCAGTGGTTTCAGCAGGTTAGTGTTGTGGTTTACTTAGTTCTTTCCATCAGGTAAATGTTTGGATTGTTATGGTTTTTCCTCTTTTTACACTTGTGTTTTAGGTTCTAGAGCCCAGATTTATGTGCTCCATCATCTTGCCTCTCTGCTTCTCTTCAGATAGAACAGCGCTCTTGCCCAAGCTTGGGCTGGGGATTGGATATGCAGATGGCTTTTAGCTCCTTGAAACATGCCTGCTGCTCCCACACTTCCCCTTTACATATATAAAGTTGGGGGGCATCTACAGCACAGAATTTTCTGCAGACAGGAATACCCCACTGTCATTTGGAAGAATAGACTTCTCTTAAAAGTCCCCAGATCTATTCAAATCCCTGCCAGGTAGCAGTGTACCAAAAGAACATAGGAGAGTTGGGTCAGAGACCCGAGTTTCTAGTTAGCACAAGAGCAAAAAGAAAGAATGGCCTGAGGACTTTGACTTATCCCCTCCAGTCACTCACAGAAAGCAGAAGCTGTGTGCAGAGCAAGCGAGGAAGTACAGATGAGGAAGAGGTGCTGGTTCTTGACCTCAGCACCTAGGGAAGACCATGCACACAGGGCCATGAAAGCCTTGCTGAGCGGGTACCTCAGTGATAACACCTCAGCAGTGAAGCAAGTCTCTGGCTGAGCTGGGAGGAAGTCAACAGCAAAAAGCCACAGATTTGTCAGGAGGTGGTAACTGCTTTGCAGGACAGTGTATCTAGGTGCGGGGTGAGATCTGGTCACCTGAAACAGGGGCTGATCTTATCTTTAGTAGCAGCATGAGAAGCCTCACCCAGATGGTGAGGTGTGGCCGCTGACCGGGGCCTTGAGAGTGTCTTCTGAAGGGAAGGCAAGCATAACCCTTAAGGCTGAAGCTTGGAGGTGTGTTTGAGAAAGCTGCTGTGGATCAACAGGCTGGAGGAAAACAGCCCGACATGAGCTTACAAAGGTGCAGTGACCAGTCATGACAGGCCTTGCGGGTGCTAGGGAGATTTACTCTGAATGAGGAAGGGAGGCTTGTCTTTGAAACCTCCAAAAACAGAACCTCTAAGGAGATTGGTGTGTTCCTCTCCTTACTCTCATTGCTCTTACAAGGAAGTCTGACAGATGTTTTAGAGAATGTACTAGATTCACTGACCTCATCTTTTCCATGATTTTCCTTGCTGGTATAAATTTAGTTCAGAAAAGTCCCTTTCTCACTGGGCTACTATAGTTCTAAGTAGCACTGTTGAGGGTAGTATGATGAAATTTCTCCCCTATTGCTCCTTGCCATCCTAGATAGAAATAAGCTTTTTGTCCAAAGTATCCATGTTGAATATGATGCTCACCTGCTAGCCTGAGCTACGGAGCTACTTCCATTGACTATGTATTAGGTCATGTAACTCTTACTGAAATGGATCTAAGGTACAAGAGTAACAGGGATGGCAGTTTTATTACAGTGTTCTGTTTTTTTTTTATTTAACTTTTATTAATTACACTTTATTCATTTTGTATCCCCCCATAAGCCCCTCCCTCCTCTCCTCCCGGTCCCACACTCCCCCCTCATTTCTGCATGCATGCCCCTCCCCATGTCCACTGATTGGGGAGGTCCTCCTCTCCTTTCTGATCTTAGTCTATCAGTTCTCATCAGAAGTGGCTGCATTGTCAGGGTTCTAGGTTATCTCCATGGATAGTCCTTGGTTGGAGTATGAGTCTCTGGGAAGTTCCCTGTGTTCAAATTTTCTTGTTCTGTTGCTCTCCTTGTGGAGTTCCTGTCCTCTCCAGCTCTTACTATTTCCCACTTCTTACATAAAATTCCAATCACTCTGCCCATCAGTTGGCCATCAGGCTCAGCATATGCTTTCACAGTCTGCATGGCAGAGGCTCAGTGTTCTGTTTTAATGTGTTTAGTTTACTATTGTTCAGAATTGGCACGATTACACTGAGGGCAGAGTTCAGCAATTGATCTCCCAAGCCAGGACAGCTTCACGGCTCACATGGGAGCTTGAATGAGGAGCTCACTGAAGGCAGGGAGAGCCTTGGAGGCTTATAGGCCAGTGTGACCCTTCCAGCCCTTCAGGAGTGAGTAGTACCTAGAGATAGGAGTATATCAGATAGGGCTCTGTCAGAGAGGCCCGTGACAGAACTCATGCTTGGCTTATGAGCATGAAAATTAAATTGTGTGAGATGAGGATAACATTATTACAAACTTATAAATCATGAACAGTATGTTTCTGGTTTAATTCACTCAACAAACTCTCTTTCCCCAATCTTTATTCACTCAAGTAATGGACAAATATAAACTGTTTGGATTTTCCCCATTGCTTACGTTAAGCACTTGTTGGTCTTGGAATTGGAGGAGGTTGGCAAGCACTGGCTAACTTCCAGGAACTGTTTCCAGTTCTCATTCTCTTTGACTGTTGGGTTGGGCATTGTTGACTACTTGTGTAATTCTCTCTAGAGGGCTTGGTGATTTAACAATCTGTATAGATCTTGTGATATCACTCAAATGCTTTCAAATGCAAGACTCTTGTTTTGCCATGAACATTCTGACCTCTGTGTCTTCTGCTTTGCCTCCTGCCATTTGACCCGTCGCTGTGGTCCAGCCTCATGGAGTTTCTTTTTCCCTGTCCTGTCTAAGCAGTTGCCCATACCCCATGTCTTCTTTGTGTGCTGCTCTTTTACTCTTGTCAGGAACCGCCTGCCTGTCTGTCATATTTAATATCTTATGTCTCTTCTCCGAGCTCAACGATACTTCCTCGGATTCTCCGTAGGTAGGAGAGCCCTTGGGATCTTCCAAGATGTTTCATATCAGCAGAGAATGTCCAGGAATCATTAGAAAAGGGCCTTTCTTTACTCAGCAAACATTTCTTGAGTGCCATTGTAGACTGAGTACAGCAGTATAATGACTAAAAGTGTCCCTGAACCAAAGGAGGTCATAGTCTAATGACAAATGCGGGAGTACTCACATATTGAGACTGTAGTCATGTCACAGATGTCTGGATGGGCAGCCTGGAACCCAGATTAAGAAATAACATCCATTAAGATTAACGGAGTGATTGAGACAGATGCCATGTATTGGTTTCTGGCCTCCACCTTTATATGCACATGCGCACACACCTATGTGTACACCACCCAAGCCCACCAAAAAAGGTGATTGGGTCTTTGGAAGGAAATTAAGACCCGAGAAAGGGGCTCTAGAAAGCTGCCCTGCCCCTTGCTCCATGTGGGGACATAGGAAAAAGACAGAGTGTGATGACACATCCATCTTGGACGAGATAGCCTCCAGAATGGTGAGAGGTGGTTGACCATGGCATTGTGTGTAACAGCCTGGCTGCACTAACAGAAGGTGTGGGGCTGTTTCCCTTTTCTTGCTTTTAGGGGCTGTAGCCAAGGTTTCTCCCTGCCGAGTTCTGTGGTGAGTACCATCTGCAGCCCAGCATTACTACCTTCCCTTGTCTTTCTTTGGCCTTGAAGCATTGAGGGTTTGGGCACTTTTGCCACACTGATTGTAGTCTCATGATTCCTCTTTCTTACAGCCAACTCTCTTCCATGCTCCCCAAGACAGCATTTTCTAACACCTGCCCCTTATAAAATGGAGTTGAGTCCAAGACATCTGGTTTGAAAGTAGAAGTTAGTCACATATTTAAGTCAGAATTGGTATGAAGGTATCCTGACTTCTAGTCATAGAAATCTCCACTACAGTGCGCATTTAGCTAACTCTTCACCTCAGAAGTTGGAGGTTATATGTTCTGATTTGTATCTTATATCTGTCTGCTCATCACTCAGGGCTGACTTGGAAGCCAGGTTCTAAATTTAGTGTGTGCCTTGAGTTGACATAATTATTTCAGAAATGCATCACATGCATGTTGGAACCCTAAACAAAAGGAAACTCTCCCAGCTTTAGCAGATGGGGCGATTGAGGAAGGAAATGGCAGCTTTAGGCACCTTAGGATGAGGCTGTGCCAGGTCTGTGGGCTTCATTGTCTCCACTGTGGAGTATGTGGCTCTGCACTCGACTTGCTGTGGTTTCTACTTCCTCCACTGTGGTGAAGTGACACTTGAGACTGTGACACTTCAGGTGGTAGGTTTGCTAAGGTAACCGTGTTTGCTCTTTATTCAGAGAGAACACAGCAGCCCCAAGTTGAAGAGAAAGGCAAATATTTTTGAGTTCCTGGCAGCATTAATTTGCAGTTTATGACAATTAGTAGCTGCTGGGAAACGCTGCCAGCTTTGT